AGCAGAAGATTCCTCTGCCAGCATTTCTTATGCACTCACTCTGTGGTGGGGCTCCAGATATGGTGTTTTAACAAGTTAACAAGTGCTGCTGTTGTTCAGGGAACACGTTTTGAGAACCCTTGATCTAGGTTAGGAATTAGCCATTAGATAATAAAATGTTTCTTTATAAAAGACATTTGTATTTTATTCAGTATCAGAGGACAGTTAAGGTATTCAAATATTTTAATCAGATTAATTAATATTTTACAAATTACCAAAAACCATGTTTTAAGTTATCTAGGGACAGGGCCAGAAACTGAGCCAATCAACTTTTTTATCAATGACCTAAGCAAAAATTTTTGAGCAATTTTTTATATCTCATCAAAGACTCTCATAAATATTTTCAACTACCACCTTTTCTTCTCTTTTAATTTAGCCCATATGTAAATAGCTAAAATGCAATGTGGTTGTTTAAAATAAGACCAATAATAATATTTTGGTACTCTATGTATTATAATGTAAGATGCTTAGCTATATGTTTCTATAATTAGAAAAAGCATCATAATGAAACATGTTACTTTTGTTATAGTGTTTTTCCCTCAATATCCCACACCTGTCCTCCCACTCCAGACTTCATGTTTTATTGTGAACTGACACTCTTGCATGGTGAAGATAATATTACTGATAGAAGCCTATGTACTCAATATAAAGCAAGCAGATTTTGTCACTATCCAATAGGGAAATCATGCAGAGGCTGTCAGTCACACAGTAGGCAAGATTACATTATCAAAATGATACACCTGTGACATATAGTCCAAAATCAAACTCAAAAGGGACTAATTAAAGATTGGCTGGTATATACCCTGACTATGTTGGAAATCATTCCATTCTTGCATGAATATGAAATTGGTGATTTAATAGGCTTTCACTTTTATAATAACTCTTATCATCTATGCACTGTCAACAAAATATATATGAGAAAATCTTTTAATTCAACTAATCTGAAAGTAATTCCATTTGGCTATTGAAAGTCTTATCTAATATTTGTACAATTTCTTCAGTGTCACCTTAACATACTTCTGAGCTGTCATATTGAACAGATAGGCTCAAAGTCAGTTCTGATGTTTCCCTTTGTGTTCTTAAAAATGAAGAAATGCATTCTAAGCAGTTTTGTATTTATGTAAAAACAACAAATAAATACATGCAACAAAAAAGTAAGTTTAGAATAAGTTTATGAGTACAGTTCATTTTTAAGAATATAGATAAAAACACTTTAAAATTCTTTCTACAATTCTAAAAAGTTCCCCACAATCCCAGTATCATGGCTCCATATTCATGGCAAATGATATAAGAATAGGTAAAGTATTATGTGGATATATATAATAACTTTAAAACATAATCTAATAAATCTAACAACTTTAAAATAAAAGTATTGTATTTAATGAGTCATAGTTTTATGATGATAAAATATTAAAAATTCAAGGAATGCTCATTAATGCTTTTGTTTTACACATTATCACAAGTCTTTAGAACAAAGGTAAGGAGGTTTGGGTAAGGAAGTACCTAAAACACCCCACTATAAAAGGGCTATACCTGCACAACCTTGTTATTCAATGCTTTATTGTGATATAAGTATATTTAAAGATTTAAAGTGCATATTCTCTACAAATACTCTACTGTACTTAGAGTAAGCAGTATCAGTATATGCTGTTCATTAAAAGCAAAATAAACATTTGTCTTCTCAAGTTCAGAAATACTGACAATGAACTCCAAGAGTGAAACTTTCAGAATGTTGTACATCTAAAACAGATTTGCCCAGCACATTGCACAACAGTATCTAGCAATACCTAAATCTATTGCAAAACAAATTTGCTTTCACTTCTGTCTTCTCTTTGTTTTTTCTTTTTCTATCATTCCAGGAAACTAACTGCTTAGACCTTGATTTCTTCTCATCCACAATTTACTAACTACTTATCCTTTAACATTAAGACCAAGCAAGTCTTACCTACCTTTTGAAGCCTTTTCAGATGCAATCAGTATGAAATGTTATTGTCATGCTCTGAATTGCTGTAGCCCTTTTTAGATATGCAATCTTTTATTGTCATGTTAACTCTGTTTAAAGCATGCAAATCAGATTTCTCTCAATTGGCCAGTTAGTTCCTAGGGATAGGAGCAAGAACCCCCACAATGCCTAGACAGTACACATGATAAGTCTTTTAGAATGAGTATTATGAGTTATAAAATGCAATAAAAAATTGAATAAACTTATTGTAGGAAATAATAAATGATTCACTTTTTTACTTTATGACTTTCTGTAAATTAACATTCAATAGTGTAAATGATAATTTTAAAATAAGTAACAATTGGCTCACTCTTTGAGAGTGTCAAAGAACAGATATTCATAAATACAACTTTCAATGATTGCAGTTACACGGTTCATCAATGACATTTCTTAATCACCAAGTATCCCTGTGTTTCAATGGTTTCAGATATTTAAGGTAATGACCCTCAGAGTGGGATTCTACATCTAAGTTCTAAACTGCACGTGCCAACTCAGAAAGCTGAGGCAATAGGATTGTAAATTCAAAGCCAGCCTCAGCAACTTAGCCAGACCCTCAGCATCTTAACAAAACCCTCTCCCAAAATTAGAAAAGAAAATTAAAAGGACTGGAGATGTGGCTCAGTCATAAAGCACCCTTGGGTTCAGTCCTCAGGACCAAAAGGAAAAAAAAAAAAAAACTGCACATGTGTCAGTGCTGAAAATATATTTTAAACTAATATGAATCTAACCAAATCAAGTCCTTAACTCAGCTTCTTGTTTCTAATGAACAGGACTGTCAAGAAATGCCACCTTAGGCACAGGGAGGTGGTGCACACCTGTAATTCCAGTTACTCAGGAGGCTGAGACCTGAAGATCATAAGTTCTAGGCCAGCCAAGGCAAATTAGGAAGACTCTGTCTCAAAATTGAAAATTAAAAGGCTGAGAGTGTACCTCACTTAAAGTGCCCTGGATTTAATCCTTAGTACAGGAAATTAAAATCTACCTTCATATTTTGGTGGTGCTGGGGGGCATGGGGACAAACAACAATTGATAGTTTTTGCAAAAAAAAATTTGATCAAGCTTCTTAATTAAATCAAATGAAGACAAATCACTCTGACAATAGGGTTGATCAGTTTACTTCTCTGTGAAATAGTTATAATATGGAATTTCAATGTTGTAAGAATATTGTGTTTGGCAAGAACTTAGAAACACCTCAGCTTAAAATTAAGTTAAGGATGCTGTTCTACTATCACAATTCAGTCAGCAGTTTGGAGTTGCTACTTTTAAGGACAAACAGAAATTTGCTAAGTGACAGACACTGTCTCAAGTCATCTCTAAGGTTCAGGTTATGTCTTTGGAATGTGTACTTATTACAAAGCAATAGAATGAGAAACCAAAACAAACTAATTATGTTGTAGCCTAAATTAACAGCATGCTATGTCTTCCCTTAATATCTAGTTTTTAAAATCAGTAGAAATATATATAACCTCACTTGGTAGTCTGTTTCTCTTTCCTCACAAGGCTTTTAATAGAATTAGCTTTATGTAAAAAATGTCTACATATTATTTTTAATAGCCTTTAGGAAGGAGGGAGAATGAAAAATGTGTGATATTTTAGTAAAATGTATTCAACTGCAAATATTTCAGAAATGAGAGCTGATGAAAACAAGCAGGTATTTTCTGTCTTGTGGGTCCAGGACCCACAGAGGTAAGAGGAGTGGAGACTAGGGCATTAGAAACGTTATAGGGCAAGAGATCTGTGACTTCTAAGGAGCTTATTTTTTTTTTAACTTGTGATTCTCTGACTTCCTTCATTTTATATTGCAGGTCCCATGAGAAGATGAAAAAAAGCAAAATTGCTTCAAATTCTGTGAGACAAGGGGAGAGGAGGAAGAGGCTCAGGATACACTGAAGGAAACCCCGAGAAATTTCACAACTCTTTGCCATAAACAGCCTTTCTTCTCACTCTGGATACCTCCTCCTTTACATCAGCAAGACTCAGCCTCCACGCGCAGAGAAGCACCATTCACAAATCCCTCTGTCACCCCTTCGTGCACCCCTACCTCTTGTTGGCACCGTGTGTCTGATTCCCTGGAACACAAGCCAAAAGATCAGAGGCCTGGGAGTCACCTGCAGTTTCAGATGAGGGCTGACTTTCTGCTCAGGTGAACCAAGGCACTGATTAGTCCGGAGTGCGAACACACACGAAGAAACACACACACTCACACACTCTCTCGCCCCCCCCCCCCCCTCCCTCTCTCTCTCTCTCTCTCTCTCTCTCTCTCTCTCTCTCTCTCTCTCTCTCTCGACGCGCCACCACAAAGCAATTTGTTCACTCTAAGTCGCCGCTGTTGCCACCACGGGGGAGGGTCACCCCTCCAATCCAGGAAGCCAAAGGACAACCAGGCGCAGGCAAGAGACGGTCGGGGATCCGTCGCTGCGGCTCCCACCGGAGCCCCGGGCTCCCCGCCCCCTCCCCTTCCTCCCCTCCTCTCCTCTTCCCCTCCTCCTCGCCGTCCCCGCCCTGGCACCCGCAGCCCTGGACGCCAGCGCTGGCCCGCCGCCCCTACCTGCGGGACGCGAGCCGCGAAGGAGGGGAGCGGCCCAGAGCCTGCTCCAACTCTTGCCTCCTTGGCGGGCCGCGCTCCGCGTCGCCCTGGAGCGGCCGCCGGGGCCGCAGGGAACAGGACGCACAAGAGCGCAGAGGAAATGGCCACGCAGCGCACCCGGAGTCGCGGGCCAGCGGCGAGCGAGCCGGTCCTCCTCCCTCCCACCCAGCCCACAAGGCCAGGTCTCCGCGCCACGTACTCGGGGCCCGCGGCCGGCGCCCGGGGCCTGGGTGGGGGCTGCTCCGGAGCGGCCCCGGCACTGCGCGGTCACCTGCCGGGCGGTCATTCCCGCGTCCCCCAGAGGCCGGCCCCGGCGCAGCTGCGACGCGACGCGCGACCCGCCGGGCGCGGGGGCACCGGAGGCGTTACTACCTTGAGGGCTCCGCGCCGCTTGTTAAGGCTCCTCCCGGGCACTCAGGGATTTATGTCTTCGGGGCACGGGCTGTCCTTCCTGGTCCCCCTCCTCTGTCCTCCCTCCCCTTCTCGACTGTTGGGCTCCTTCTCTCCACTCCCAGTTGCACAGAGTCGAGCTGCGTTATTTAATAATCCTCCTGCTCCTCCTGCCTGCGCCAGCAGAGCTGCTCTGCCTGAGCCACCTCTTCCCAGTCAGTCATGTTGTTGAGAGAGAGAGGCGGATTGGCAGTCGATCGGCGACTATTTGTGGTGAGGAAGAGAAGAGCAGAGCAAGAGGAGGGCAGGGGAGGGACGTGGGGAGGCGCTTCCAAGTGTGTGAGTGCGCGGAGTGTGACTGTGTGTGGAGTGCAGAGAGCCACCTCACTGGCAGGCCGTGCTCAGGAGCTGTGAGAAGGGTGGTCAGGAGCGCGGCCTTTATAGACGCGGGTGGAAGAGTTGGCCTGGGGCGGGGGCAGCCTGGTGGGCGGTGCCGGGCCAACTGAGTGGCCGGATACCGCGCACGCATACTCTCACATTAAAGCGCGCACACCCACTGCTGGCCCGCTGCTGAGTTTTCATTTTAGGGGAAGCAATATCCGACGGTGCTGACTTGGCTTTCCCCCCAGCCCATCCTTGTATATGTCGAGTCCAAGTGTATTGGCAGGTCAAGGACTAGAGACTAGTAGGACTCTGAAGAGAAACGAAGCAGGGATGCTGGAAATGCACTGTATCTGTTTTTCTCCAAGACACTGATGTTGTCTTCTCTCCCTTCCACCTCTAAGGGAGGAAATTATGAGGTACTTTTTCCTTTTTTTTTTTTTCTTGTCAGCCGCCCCATTCATATTCTGACAAGTCTTTTCCTAACACAGTAACAAGAAAAGAAACCTGACTTCTTTCCTTTAAGCAGGTCACGCCTCCCAGGAACCATTTGCAGCAATCAATTCTTCTGTAAGATAATGGAAGCACTGCAACTATGACTGAGTGGGACTTGTGTTCCTATATGTAAGGTCCTCAACAATACAGGCATTTTGAACAGAACTAGCTACGATTTGACATCATTTGACTGATAGCCCCCTAGAGAAAATTTGCCAGTTTAGAGATGGAGAAGACTTCTGATGCATGATGATTTTGCTTACCTAATTTATTTTTCCTTGGTCTTTTTTCTTCTTGCACTGCCTCATTTCCTTCAGGTTTGCATTGGGCCTGGAACTCTTTCCCCTCCATGCCCTTCTTGAGCTCCACTCCTACATATTTTGCCTTTAGTAGCCACTACAGCAAATATAGTGCATATTGTATGTGTGTGTGTGTGTGTGTTTATGTAAGAACCATTATTGTTAACCCATTGTGATGGAATGTAATACCACTTTTAGGTAGGTAATACATCCTGATATTAAGTTATGTTGAGTTTGTTCACCTGTCCTCTCCTCTCTAGCCCCTTATTTATTTCCTGCACATATTGCAAGATCTTTGTCATCTGATGTACTTCTATATTGGAAAACAGGAAACATGCAATCTACACTTCTTTCAAGTGTGTGTGTGTGTGTGTGTGTGTGTGTGTGTGTGTTTTCTGTAGAGTCTAGCCACAGTCTGACTTTTAAAATGTGCCTATATTGGGAGTAAAAGCAATGTGTACTTTTTGTGTGAATCTTAGTGATTAATGTGTACTTTGGCATTGGAAACAACCCAGTTCTGAGGTAACAACTTTGGGATTTTTTTTAAATATGTGACAAAAGAAAACATTTAAGAATATAGGGAGTCGGTGGCAAGGTTGACAATTCATGTTTCGAATCTTCTGTGGGTGATGACCATTGCTATATCTACAGTATTTCATCATATGCCAACCCTTTATGTATTCTCCATATACTTTACCTTTTTCACATTGACATTGCTACCTCCAGTTCTTCCATGTCTCATACAATGAGTTAAGAGTTCTTTTAAAACAGCTTAAGCATACAAGCAAGATTAATAGAGATATTAATAGGAGTGTGTAAAAAACAGAGATATTGTAAAGAAAGGGCAACAAAGTGGATGGATAAGGACAAGTGCAGAAATATCAAATATATATAAGTATGAAACATTGTAACTTCTTTGATTAAGCATTATAAAATGGATATGTACTAACACAGGATGTTGACACTTAATGTGCACCCTATGAAACAGCTATTGATATTTCCTCAATTGGACAGGTCAGGATTTGGGTGGTAAGTAGTTAACAGGAGATCAAACAAACACCAAGTGATGCAGCTATAGCTCTGTTTAACTCTACTGTCCACATGGCTTCCCATTCAAAACTCCTAGATCAGTTAAAAATCTTAAAAGAGTTTCCTTTGAGCTTTTGATAATCATGAAATCAGCTGGTCTGTAATCTTCGGGCATTTTCCTTCTACATCCCTCCTTTTATATTGCAAGAGAAGTTTATAAAATATACATTTTTTAAATGTAGGCAAGAATTTATAAAGTCTTAACATACTTGGACTCAAAGATGGAGTTAGAAAACTTCCCCACAGGCTTTAATGAAAGAAATTGTCATTGCAAAGGAAATTTTGCAGAAGAGTTATTTCTGAACACTTGCATCTAGTTAATGAATATGTGATTTATTAGGAGCTGCAAGTAGACATTTTTAAAAGTTCTGTTCCCCCTTGAATAGCAATGCTTAATCATATTGGGTAAAATTTTGGTAGTTTTATTGTCCTGATTCTCTATTTAATTGTCACCTATAATGATAATTTGATTATGATCTATAATGAATACTTCAAAATTATATATTAGATCAGATATTTCAAGGGCATTTTTGGTAACCGCAACTGATTGTAATTTTCACACTCTCAAATTGAATTTATAATTAGTGAGAACCATGACAATCTGTCAATTGCCTTTTTCATTAAGGTATTGAATAAAACTAACATTTCTTGCTTATTTTCTGATACTTTTCTTTCTAAATGAAGATTAGAATTCATATGCACTACCCAGAAAGATACACAAAAATATATGACTTAAAACACGTCTGAAAAGTTGATTCATTTTAACTATTTTGTATTTTTGTTGAAAAATGAGCACGAGAAACTCCATTTATAAATTTTAATGAACAGCAGTTTAGAAGTTTAGTAAATGAATTATTCTCTTTTAAGATTGTTTAATGTTTCAAGTAGAATTTCCCGCTTTGCAACACATTCAATGATATAATTTTTGTTGTGATAGAAAAACAGAAAGCTAATGACTCTTTCCAATTTGTTCATTTTCATCTCTTGTATGCTTGCTGCTGTTTGGTTCCCAAGTGCATTTAACTGGCAAGTTCAATGAAGACTTGGCATTGCACCATTTGATGAAAGCAGAAAAATTAGGTTGCCAATTACATATGTGCCCCTTATGTGCACTGAATTCCCACTGAAGTGATGAGCCAAATTAGAAATTCCTCAGTAGTAGTACCTAGAAAAGACAATTAGAACTCAGGAAAGGTAAAAGATATCATTTTTATTTCCAACCTCATTACCAGTCAGATCTAAGGAAGTGAATTAACTTTTTAATACAATTGCCAAACAATGTAAATTAGATTTCATTAAAAATTTAAAAATTGTCTCCATTTGGTTTTCTCTTACCCTGGTATTTTATTGTTTTTTGCTTTGAATTCCATTATGATTATCCAATCATGATGGAGGAAAGTAAAGATCATTTTCCTCCTTTGCTTTATCCTAATTACTATGGTTTTAATGTGTTTCCCAAAGTTTATTCCTGTATTGTAGACCTGAGCTCTGAATTCACATATTGATGATATTTGAAGGTAATGTCACTGGGAGATAATTGAGATTAGATGAAGTCATGGGGATGGTGGGGGGGCATGATAGGGATTAGTGGCTTTATAAAAAACAAACAAACAAACAAAGAAGAAGAAAGAGACCTGAATTTGGATGCTGTCTTACCATGTGATGCCCTCTTCTATGTTATGAGGCAGCAAGAAGGCCGTTGCCAGGTGCCTACACCTTGATATGGAACCTCCCATCTTCCAGAGCTTTAGAAAATAAATTTCTTTTCTTTACAAATCACCCAGTCTGTGGTTTTCTCTTATAGCAGCAAAAATGGATTAAGACGCTAACAGTATGAAAGAAATAAAAAAATGTTAGTATTCTGGATTTCTTCCATATAAATAAGAGGTAAGTTATACTTTTGTGGTGACTATTGAAATATGAAAGGGACGCTATGGGTACCAATTGAGCAACAGGAGCAGTTAAACCAGATGAGAGCTGCAGCTGATTCTTGGTTCAAGACAAGGGGACTGATAAGAAAGTATAAGATGATGATATGCAGATTTGTTCAGTTGCAGTTCTGGGTTCAACATCAAAAATTCCATCTTAATATGGAAAACTCTCTTAATTGGGACAATCTGCCAAGTAGACAAGGCCCAGTAGACAAGAATTTAGAATTATTTTCCCTAAATTTGGTAATGGTATCTATTACTTAGTAAACTGTCTTTTACAGCAGAAATTCTGCCCAGTGGCAAGACAGCAGGATTTATTTATGCAAAAACCTATGCAGAAGCTAAACCCAGGTTACTAGGTCAAAACACTCACTGCATGAGCTGTCTTTGATCCGGAAACTACACAGACAACTAGGATCCATCCTGTAGGGCAGATTTGGGAACAAGTCTATTAAGGTTCAAGTAAGCCAGTATCCTTGTATCTGGGCTACCATGTTCCAGGTTTATAAAGTGTTGTAATTCTAAGCCCATTTACTGGGCCAGGGCTTGGAAAGAAAAGGACTGTGGAATGCATGTCTGACCCATCAACTGAGTGGATCCTAAGTTTCCAAAGACAGCTACCCAGTTTACGAAGGTGAAAAAGTTGAAATGGTGGAAGGAAGTTAAGAGCTGACAACAGCACAATGAAACTAGTATTCTCTGAATTTATGCCTCTCTGTTTTTTCAGGTAGGTAAACTACATTAAAATAATGTTTATCAGATAAATCAAAAGGATTCTTATAAGCAGATTCACTATTTGAAACTGCTTTTTTTATAGTTAGCTTATACTTGTTTCTATTTTCTAATATCACTAATGAGGTACTCAGGGAAATTGCTTCAGAAGTCCCTGTCTTTGCATACATTTATGCTTAAATACTTATTGTTGTTTTTTTTTTTTTTTTCTGATTGTAATGTTTTTAAAAATTAGCCCAATTAATTGGTTAATTTTTGGTGTCTGTTATGGGTTATATCTAACAAAATGACATTTTTTTAATGAGGCTTTAGAGTCTTTCTTCTATAATTATTCCCAGATCTATGTGGTTATAGGCATTTCATTAAAACAAGTAGAATTTGACACATACCAAAATAAGGCATCAATTAAATCATCCTAAAATTAGTATATTGATAAAATCTGAAAATAACACTTATCATATAATAGATTAATTTTAACAATAAAA